TAATTGACGCCATTATTGACAAAAGTAAAAAAAAAAAAAAAAAACATACCTCAACCACTAAACCTTCAGTTATGTCACTTACAGACAGATTAAATAGGACAGGACCCAGTACAGAGCCTTGTGGTACACCACTAGCGTCTCTGTTCTGGATGAACCTAGTTTACAACCACACCGATATATATATTTTTTAGCCAACTGCATATCAATTGAACAACCCAAGTCATGTCATACACAGCTTGAGCTCCCTTTACATAAACTACACTTAAATGTGTTTCATTAGGAAAGGAAGACAGTAAAAAAAAAAAAAGCATTCCATATATGTGGGAAGTGTTTGAATGTAAACTGGCAAAATTACTGAAATTTCTATATAAAAGGATATATCCTGCATATGAGGGTGTCCAGTGAAAATATATCAGGTATGCTGGGAATGGGTTTAATCAAAAGCACAATTTTTTTTCCCCCTTCTGTGGAAATATTCTAAAGCAAGCGAGGGACCACCTGACATTTCTGGCCATCTTCCTTTAAATGCAGCTACATCTAGGAGGGACCAACCAGACATGAAGCAGCATCACAACTGGAAATGGCGGATGTAGTGTTTACTTTTTTCCAAGCTGGAGAAATTACTTATTCAATCTGGACATCAGAAACTAATGTCTACATATTATGCAGCTAGATTTGCCTCTGTTACATCTAGATGGCACCAAGGAGGTTGCAGACTTGCCAGAAGAGGATGTGTTGGGTCCCCACATCACCTTTGTCATATAATCCAGGGCCAGGCTGATTCAAATAAAATATTTGCATCAAATATATGACTCCTTACAAACTATTTAAAATGGCCAAATTAGCCCCCCATCTTGTAACAGAGGTCCTCTAGTCACAGGGACCCTTATGCATGTAGTATGAGAGTGTTCCATAATAGGGGCCTTCTGTTCCGAGATGCCAGATTTTATTGTCGCTCTCTTATCTGTGCTCAATACCTCTAATCCTGTTTATTATACTTCTATGCCAAGAAAGCCCTAGATATAATGCGGAAATAGTGCAACACCCCCCAACACTGGGTCTATGGGAAAGGCAGGTCAAACAAGTGCTCTCCCTCTTTACAAGTTGACTTATGAAGCTCAGGATTGTCTCCAAAAAACGTAATAAGGTTTGATCTTCCTGGCTAGAAGCTTTGAACACGATTCATGAGGAACAAATAGACCATACTGCTCAATGATTTTTGCCAATTACCATTTATCCATGTTTCTGCCAAGTATTGTAATACCGAAGAATGTCAAGATTGTTCTGTGGTCAAAAGAGTGCATTATTAGCACTATTGTTATCATCTCAATGTGTATGTCTGTGTTCTCCTGTTCCTTATATATTAATGTCCATGTAAACAACAGACTTTCTTTACAATTGCTTTTGTACATGTCATTGTAAAACTCTCCATGGACTTCTGCTGAACTGTTCAATAGCAAGAATAATTAAATATACTAGGGATGCACCGATACAAGCATCGGTATCGGCGGCGATACCGAGTATTTGCATTAGAACTCGTACAAATACTCCGATACAAAAAACGAGTATCTGTGCCGCGTCCGCCATCTTCAAGGGACCCGAAACCGCCGCACACAGGACCTCCATCACGTCTTCAATGAAACAAGATGGCCGTGAACTCCTCCTCCAAGTCCTCAGTCATCTGCTCCATTCTGACCTCTTCTCCCGCTGATTGGCCGATTGGATGATTGACAGGCTTCCTCACCAGTCAGGAGTGACTGGTGAGGAAGCCTGTCATCATCCAATCGGCCAATCAGCGGGAGAAGAGGCACAGCTAAGACACACACGTGCGCACGCACGCCAAATCTGACCTGTGTTTGAAACACTATCAGACCAAGCCCAGCATATCAAGGCAAGGAAAGTGTAGGCCAGTTAAAATGAAGAAACTGCAGATGCTTAGTGAAATAAAATGGAGAAATCTTTGTGTCATTGTATGATATTTAATAAGCCATTTCTATCAAGACCAAGCAGGAGAATGCTGAAGTAGCACTTACCGCATTGGGCACACATGGGCACCTTTTGTACAGAACTGCAGAAATAGCAGAAAGCCCGGTTCTTCTGCCGCCTTTATTGGACACAAAAAAAATAAAAATATATATAACCAGACTTTAACATATCATCGACAAGCTGTTTGAAAATCAACAACAGCAAAAAAGGCCAATAAAAACGTACCTTTGGCATTTGTCACATTCCTATAAAAATAAAGAGATGTGCATCAGAACACAAACAAGTATTTACATGACAATCTCCCAACAGTGTTTACTTAAGCTGCACTTTACGTTCTGGAAAAATAATGACTCCCGTGGTGAAGATTACCATACGCGAACATACACGCTTACCAGGCAAGTCTAAGCCCCTGTCAGTGGATGGAAATGTAAATGTGGAGCGGCTCCTGGTAAATTATTCCTAGTCACACAGAGTTATATCTTTTTACACCGGCTTATAACAAGTACCCAAAGGACCCGTGACACATTACAGCAGTCAGGGGAGCAATAGGTATGATGACTACAGAGCATCAATTATATATTGTGGATGCTTTTTAAAAGAGAAAAAAACAAAAAACAAAAAGCGACTGTAACTTGGATCGATTCAGCCTGTCTAGAAAAAAAATAACTTGTTCTTTCTCCGTGGACCACGGTTATTATTTTTCCAAATGCCACCGCTGAATTTTCTTTTTTTTTTACCAAGTGCTTTGTTTTCCTTTATAAAAGAGCGAAACGGAACAACAATGTTAAAGTCAGCCCTAGCAAACGACTGACATCCTGAGGTCAGTTTAAGGCAAATCACATATTTACAACTCTGCAGATAATAACACAGTGCCAGTTTTATGATGCATTTCAAGTGTTTTACAATGTGTTGTAGTACATATATTTGCAAATTTTAAAATGCATGTATTTTCTGAGGCAGGGAACTTCTCCATGCAGCTCTGCACATTAAAGCTTACTTATATGCATTTTACATGGGCTAGGGAAGATGTGCATTAGGTGCAGTGTAAAGCAGGTCCTTACATTTCTGCAACAGGCCTAGGGGGTTAAATGCATTGATTTTTCTGACCTTCCCAAGCTATCTGGGGGCCCCAAAACCCCGGGCACTCACTATGCATGTGGAAGATATCAGCTTCATACTAACTGCTCTGGTCCACCCCATTTAACTGCGTTCCTGACCATTAGAGAGATGTGCACTTCCAGGGGGTGTTCTAGAGCTCTAACTTTGAAACTCACTGGAAGTCAACAGTTGCATACCAAGAGTCCCATGTTTTGGTGTCCATTGGTACTCTGTTAGGAGGGTGGTATGTGCAGGCACATTAACATAGCTGTTTTTAAATCCTAGGTCAGTTAACTAATTATGACAAGTTAACTTTAAATGAGGGCTGGACAAATCCCGGTCTCCATGGTGTAAAAAAAGAAAAGAAAAACGCTCCCAGGCGACCAGTTATGTAAATATTTGATATGGTTTCATTGACTGCAGTTCCCCTAAACGCCACTAGATGGTGCCTTGTGGAAAAGGGATTTCCTCACTGACTGCGGTCCTGACAGACGCCAATAGGCGGTTCTTAGTAGAAACAGGATTTACTCAATCATTGAATGCTTCCAAAACAATACATTTGTATTGCAAAATAGCATGGTGAACACATATTGATAGGCCAATAGGAATATGGGGTGGGGGGCGGGGGAGAAAAAAAAAAACAAAACACAGGCAAACTTTGACTATACCCGGAAACTTTGGAGCACCACCCAAAATTTGGGCAAAGCAGGAAGTACTAAAAGCTCTGGGCTCCTGTAATTCATACCTGTCACCAGTTTTGGGCCTGTGTCGATGGCATCAGTTGGACATCAGATTAAAGTCATTTAGAATAAATTGACAACTGCAGTCAACTGCCTCCTGACCTACTTCAAGGCTAGTTCACACCAGCCACAGTGCGTTTCCGGTCCGATTCTGGCTACTTTACAACACACGGGGACCATGGGGAACAAATGTAGCCACCCACCAGAAGGAAGGACAGTGCCAGTACAAATGCAGATATTATTTGAGGATCTACAGCTAAGTGATATACAAATAAGAGAAGATTGGTTAATCACCAGCACACACGAATCTTCTTTGCATTAAATCATCACATCACTGATACCAACGTTTCAGGGCCCCTACACGACTGATTTGATGGAGGAAAAAAAAAAAAAATACAGGAGCAGAGAATAAACAGAACGAAAAGACACAGCATTGTTGGGAACTACCGTTTTAATCTCTACCCTTGCTCAGTAAAAACCCCTTTACTTTCAGGTATATGCAACAAGCTCAATGTCTGGAGCTTGGCACATACGTGACCCCACTGCAGTCACATGGGGGAAAAAGCCACATTGCCCAATGTTGGGTATTGTGAGTAATTCCCAGTATAATTTCTGGATAGACAATGCAGGTTTAAAGAGGCAGGAGAGAGAAGCTAAAAGGCAAAATAAGCAGCAGAGTATGCATGGAACAGGGTAGACAGGTGGCTTTGGACATTTTTACACCAGGTAAACTTTAAGTCTCTATTAGGTCCATTCAGCGTGAAAATAGGGAATACTCAGCTCTCCACCTTAAAGAAAAACACTTGAAAGGATATTTGTAATAACTTGAATCTCCACTCCTACACTGTTTTAACTGTGCAGCCTTGTGTTTACCACAGAGTTGTACCCTTTGGCTGTTGGACTAGAAATAGCATCTCTGCGTCTGTAAGTAAAGCTAATGTCATAGTTGTGAATAAACCATTTTTGGCACCAAGGAATGGTTACCTCACTGTCAAAGCCAGCTGGCATGGAAGTGATACATACAAAGCAAGTGAGTGTTCTCCCTCTATATTCTAGTCAATATATTCTCGTCTGTGACTGGAATGCAAGGGTAACATTACCCCTTTTGGAGGCTGACCTGTCTCCTGTTTGAGGCTCAGGGCTGATAAGTGACCCTCTGTCAGCGCTACAGAAAGAGTAAAGCTCTGTTAACAAAGCGTTCATAGTTTTCTTTCACGCAATTTGTTATGGTCAGTTTTTTAAGCATCTGTTATTACCTTTTTGATTGCAAGTCCTCACGGCCAGGGCCCTCCTTACCATCTTGTCTTGTGATTGTAATGTCTGCCCTATATTGTAAAGCGCTGCGCAAACTGTTGGCGCTATATAAATCCTGTATAATAATAATAATCTTAGCGCAGGCAGGAGATTGGACAGTTCAATGCATTACAGATGCCCATTCATTACCTGTAGACAGGATTAATTTACTGTAAAATGGGACTGAATCAGGACTATGAGATTAAAATATAGCTGCCTCCTAAATCAAGCTTCATCGTCCAAGATACAAGGAATACAATCTCTTTCTTTGAACATTTACACTTTTGCAAATGTTAATAGTTTCACGCATACATCCCATGTTACCAATCTTTACAGTTTTGGAAGTAAAAATAAATTTATAAAGATTATTACGCAGGTTATTTTTCCCTAAAAAACACTGACATTTGGTGTTATGTGCAAGTTTCTATGGGGTACCTGTGGAGGAAGACATGGAATGGAGAACATTTTGGTGGAAATAAAACATTTCCTAAGAGAACACTCCTAAGAACATGGCTTCACCTGGTTCACTCGGCTGCTTCTGGTTCACTCGGCTGCAGCCTAACTACCTCCACGTATTGTTTACACCCTTTGCTGGAGTGGCACCCTTATGTGCTAATGTGCATATGCACCAACGCAGTCAGAGTAATGAACAGAACACTCATATTGTGCAAGGTATTCAAGGGGAAGAGGTGTTCTATTCTACAATCGTGTCCTTGTGCATGCAGTAGCAGACAGGGTGCCACATCATCAGAGGCTTTAATTGCTGCCCATATAAAATGTCTGAATTTTTATTTAATGCTTATTTTGCTTAGGGGATCCTTTGGGGGGGGCTGTCATTTAAAAAAGGTACAGTTAGCCTTTAAGAGAAGCAGGATAACCAACCACATCAGTTTGTCATTGAAGGGTAAACTCTTTCACCAAACAAATCACCAAGTCATTGGTGCCTATATGCCCAGGCCAAATTTAGCTGCTTCAGCATGTGTTGGGTAATTTAGGTAAATAATAGTTATATCTATTCTTAAGAACATAGGTCTTTATTTGGTACACTGGTTTAAATTTAAAAAATGCTCAGTTTTTATTATAGACTGACAAAAATGTAAAAAAAGAAAAACAATTAGCTATTTTATTAACAATATAACTGACTGACAATTACAGTATTAATAAAATGGCACAGGAGATTAATGCTACCACCTTAAGGTTGCAGTGTTTAAATGCAGGACTTCATCTTTGTCTTTTGTTCTTCTGCAGGATTTCATTTTTGCCAACGCAGCCTCCAGTCTGCATGTGATCACTAAGTCAGAGCTGAAACAGTGGCCACATGATCAGGAACAACTCGTCAGTGACAGCCAGAATTGAAAGTAGTTAGCAGCACAAAGTGTCAGCTGCTTGCTCTGAAAGTGGTGGATTTTTACTATTATCCTTGGCAAAGGACAGTGTGGTGGGAAAATGAATAAACAGATTGTGCGCAGGAAGGGGTTTTAAATCACTGGAGTCAGTGGCAGCCATGGTACATCTGTGCATGTCACACCATTGAAAGTTATGACATGCTGAGGAGTGTCCATTCATAGGTCTTGAATTCTTTCATGCGAGTGACTGGTAGAGCCATAGGGTCCTTATTTTTTCACGTAAACTGTTGTACTGAAACTGTATTTGATTTATGTTATTTGGTCCAGCAAATAAGCTTGTAGCATAGCGACAACATCCCCCTCTCCCAAACCTGCTCTAGGCACTATACAGTGCCTAACCTTTCTCTCCTACTCATATCCCCTATGGCACTCCCTCACTGGCCGTTGTCAACAACGCCTAGTATAATTAAAAGTTGTACAGTAAATGGCACCCTCCAATGTAACAACACTGGGGCCTGGTAATTGCTCATGGAATCACACAGGTTCCAAGCACTGCATTATAAAAAGGCAGGTGACATGCCACTTGCTTACCCATTACAGGGATTTTTACATAGGCAATGATTTGAGTGGCAGGGGCAGCAGAAAAAGTACAAGCACCTGAGCGTGCCTAGGATGTGAAGAGTAGGGGTGTGGGATTGAGAATTTTTTGGTGTTGTGCTGTGACAAAGTTGCTTTACTTGACTAAAATGAGCACAAAAAAATATTCTAAAATCACCAACGTTCTTTTGTTTTTAATGATAGTCATTTAAACACAGGAGCTTACCATAGAAGCATTACAAGGGTGTTTGGCAAGATCTACAGTGCCTCTTGCAGCTCTCTGCTGTTTTTCCCTTTCTTTGCGGCTCTCTGCCTTCTTACGGGCACCCGTCTTCTTTTTGGGCATTTTTTTTTCTTCTAAGTGCTAGAAGTCAAACGAGAATAAACTACTGTTAATAACTATAATCTAATCAAATACTTTATTACAAAATAAATAAAAAGGTATACATTTCTTATAGTCATTAAACATTTCCACACTGTAGATCAGCACACACAATTCACCACACAGTTGTAACTAGGGATGCACCGATACCGGTATTTTGGTACCGAGTGGCGATAATTTTTTTTTTTACGGTATTTGCCGATACCAATTACCGAGTAACGGAAGTCCCATTCAGGAAGCCAGGTGGCGTGTAATGACTCGCCACCTGGCTTCCCGATTAACAAGAAAGTCCCCTCTTACCTTGGTATGTCCAGCCTGTCACCCCCGGGGCCTCTCCAGCGAGAACGCGGCCTTTCTCAGGGAACCCAGCCGGAGCCGCCTGGCTGGCCAATCAGGAAGCCAGGCGCCGTGTAATGACGCGACACCCTGCTTTCTGATTGGCCGGCTCCATGCTCCATTGTCACAAGGACGAGGGAGCATGAAGCCAGCTTCCCGACCAATCAAGAAGCCAGGCAGCACGTCATTACACGCTGCTCGGCTTCCTGATTGGCTGGGAAGTCGGCTCCATGCTCTCTCATCACAAGTGACCAGAGAGCATGGAGCCGCTTCTCGGCCAATCGGGAAACCGGGCAACATGTAATGACGCGCTGCCCGGCTTCCTGATACCTAAGTACTCGCGCTAGGCATCGGAGCATTTGGGCGAGTACGAGTACTCGCCCAAATACTCGGAATCGGCACCGATATCTATACTAGTATCGGTGCATCCCTAGTTGTAACAGCTGAAAAACAAATCTAATCATTTTCTAATACAGTCCCCACAACTACGGGCATTTTGGCTTTATTCAATAATTTGTTTCTTAAACTAATAATTTATTGCAGTAATCCCAAACCACCAATCAAAATCCATCTTGCACTGGTCCTAAATCAGCAAAGTGAATTCAATCGGCTCTCAGGATAAAAACGTACCAATTAAGAATAAGATAAGGCCGCTAGTTTGGTGGTTCACCCTAGAATAGTACAGTTAAAGCTGAACTCTAGGCAGGTAAAGGAAAATGAATCTATCTCTGTAATCACTAATACATTATATGCAAGCAATGCAAGTACCTGAATGTGACTTGGTATCAGACTCTTGAAGTCTCTGTATAGCAGTGCTAAGTGTTTAACAAATAACACAACTTAATGAGCAAAACCACCAGGGTTATTCACAAAAAAGAGTGAAGAGTTTGGAGAAGGCAGGAGGAGTGAACAATCTTGGACAACATAGCTGAATTGGAGAATTGTTCACTTCTCCTACCTTCTCCAAACTCTTCACCCTTCCTTCTGGAGGGTGACTACTTTTGTTCCCTATGGTCCTTGTGTTAGTTGTAAGTAGCAACCGCTCCAAGCTCACTCCTGTGATGGACTACAATGTCACGTTTAGTTTACTAATTTGTATTGAGATTGTAGTCCATCACAGGAGCGAGCTTGGAGTGGTGGCTACTTCACAACACACACAGGGACCATGGGGAACAAAAGTAGCCACGCTCCAGAAGGAAGGACAGTGTCAGCATGATAGATAATTTGATGATCTACAGCCGATTGATGCAAAGATAAGATACATTTACGTTACTGGTTAAGGTACTTGAATGCATTTTTAAGAATTAACTCCTGCGTTTAGTCACTTTAAGTGAAATTATTCTTTAAATTTCAGCAATGTTTTATTGCTGAATGAGGACCTTTATGTTTGTAGAAGTAGTCTGCATGCCTAGGTGCTTGATTTTATACATCTGTGGTCATGGAGGTGATTGGAACGCCTGAATCCAATAATTTGGAGGGGTGTCCCAATACTTTTGGAAATATAGTGTATGTAACCAACTGCACAGTGTCCTTTGGGCTCACCATACACATTTCAATCTGTGCATACAATCAACTTTAGAGCTACCAAAACTATGTAATATGAGGACCTACCTACTTGTTGGTAGATCTAAAGCAGATTGGAACATGCGTGGTGAGCTTTATATATTTAAAAACTAAATAGTGAGGGCCTACCTAAACAATACATTCAATCGAGATCCAATCAGATAGGACCTTGCTAGAGATTAATATAT